CTTGGTGGGAGTTTACCACTGCTTTCCGTCAGTATTATATTCCTGCTAGTTTGTTGAACATGAAGCTGTCTGAGTTTCTAGAGATGAAACAGGGAAATATGACTGTGATGGAGTATGTGAACAAGTTCAACCATCTTGCACAATATGTTGTGACTCATGTGGACACTGATGAGAAGAAGATGGACCATTTCAATCGCGGTCTCTCTTGTATTTTGCAAGAGAAGCTGTATATAGGAGGCTATCAGACCTTTAGAGCATTGATGAATGCTGCTATTGCTATGGAGGGACTTCAACATGACTCTCAGGCTGAGTGGAAGCGCAAGAGGGTGATCTCTGGATCTTCTAGTCACCCATAGTCTCAGAAGGTATAGGTTATGAGGTGGGTGTCCTATCACTCTCTAAGAGGATAGCCATCCTGTCAAACTCAGCAGATTCACCAGGCATCGCCCACTCAGTACCGTGCACCTACTCAGCAGGTGCAGCAGCCTTAGGGATAACAGGTTTCGCCTCGTTAGGGACAGGGAAACAAGCCTCGTGCCTATTTCAAGTGTGGCAAGGAAGGTCACTATGCCTGGGAGTGCCCTCCGAACCAGCCTCCCCAATCTTCTCAGCCTTCGGCCAACTCTCGTCTGGTCAAGAGGACTATCATCAGGAAGATGGTGCTCGTGAGCCGCTCTAGATAGGTTAACTTCACCGAGGTTGAGGAAATTTTGTAGGGTGAGCCTGTGATGGCTGGTATGTTTACCATTGATTCCCGTAACACTATTCCTATGCCTACGCCTGCCCTGGGCTCGGCCAACGACGGCCCCCTCTTGGCCGCCTAGCCACACACGGCGGCGGCCGCTTGCAAGTGGAGATGAATGATGCGGTGGAGATGGAGGATGGAGATGGAGGATGGGGATGTAGAGGATGGGCGCGGTGGCGGTGAAGAGGAAGGTGGGCGAGAGACGAGGTGGAGAGAAAGGCGGACAGGAGCCATGGCGTAGCGCAGTCGCATCAATGCGTGATTTTTGAATAAACTGCGATGACTGGAGAGGAGCAGATATGAAGAGATAGGATGGCCTTCTGGACATCGGGGTCCACAAACAGGGGCGTCCGACGCGAACGGATGTCTACTTCGAAGCATTACCCTTTTAACTATGTAGTTAGATCATGACCTAAACCATATAGATGCCCAAACAGGCTGCTTGGACCGGCTTGGTGAAAGCATGCCCAAACGGGCTGCCTAGACCCGGCCTTGCGAAAGCATGCCCAAACGGGCTGCCTAGACCCGGCCCGGTGAAAGCATGGCCTAATGAGACCGGGCCAGGCACGGCACGTCGGGCCACTAGGTCGTGCCGAAGGGGGTTTCATGCTTGGCTGTTGGTCCAGGCACGGTCTGTTGGGCTAACTTTTGAGCAGGCGAGACCTGATGATAAGCATGGCTTGGTGTTGCTTGGGCCAACCCGAGGCCCACGTCTCCATCGCCGATGATAGCCGACTATCAGGCCGATACGGTTAGAGTTTCACTATTGATTGTTTTGGAGCCGGCAGTGATAGAGTGTCACTGCCGATTAGTGGCTTTAATCCACAGTAATAGGACACCGGCAGTAATATCGATTGTGACTGCAACCAACAATAATATACTATATATGAACCGACTGCAACCAACAATGATAGACTATATATTATCATTAGGAGACACGAACCGACAATAATATCATAACTTTTTTTTATATGAAGTCGGATAAATATAAACTTTAATAAAATTGTAGAGTTTAAAGGGATCTAACCTAAACTTTATAGTTGATAACTTTTAAATTTGAGATGGTTTACATGTCTAAATACAGATCAAATTTGAGATTATTAATGATGTCAAATGAAGACAAAGTCAACAACAAAACTGTAGTACTCGACGAGATCTACAACTTTACGGTTAACAACCTTTTCATCTAAGATCGTTTGGAGTGTTAAATATACAATATAAGATTGAAATTGTATAATTAAAAGAATAGCGTTAGCTATGTAATCACGTATATCGCGAACTTAGATGTCTTGAGTTTGAATTTTTTTTTTTATTTTTACCAGTTATCACTGCCCATATGTAGTGATGGGAGTTACAACTCGGTAGTGATTTTCTGCTCTGACGTAGTGAGATCAAACATGCGATTGAAGATTATGAACATCTTATTAGTGGATTAATTTCAATTTATATAACCTATGCATTTACTGTCCTTGTGGCAGACACAGGATCTAAAATTGACATCAAAATTTGTGCATCTGTACATACGCATCTATCCAGGAGTGAAAGAGTTGTAGCCTTAGCAGCAATGGCCATCGAAATTGACAAATTGTTGGCCACTTGGGCTTGATATTGTCACAATAATGAACTCAATTCTTGTTGGCTGCTAGATTGAAACATTGTAGAAATCAAAATACTGTTTTGCTGTGAGAGAAAAATATTGTATCATGGCTGATAAGTTCAACCAAACAGGGCCATTTTTGAGAGTGTTGTCCATTGATTTTTTTTTTCTTTCAAGCTTTGTAGTGAAATAATTTATGACGCAAATACAGTAGCTCAAATTTTCTTGTTGTCCTCTCTTACTTTTTACATCGAGTAGAATATTTTGTCAGGTGTCATTAACCATTGAGAATCTCAGTGGCGGTTTTTGTCAGTAACCAGTCTTGCTCCTAGCCAAAACATCGAGCACATGGTGTGCATGTTCATGACTGAGGCACCGGTGGCGAAGAGTACGACTGTCTCAAACAACAACGAGCGTTTAGCGTTGCCACCGCCGACTCCGTCGACGTGCTTGACACCACCACCGCCCCGTTGCTGCGTCCAGCCGACCCCCGCATACCAACAGGCAGCAGCCAAAATTCGGCAAATATCTCCCCTGCCCGTGCAACCGGTCCACGCAAACCCCCAAGAATTATCTGTTGCCCGTCGTCCACTATCCTGTATCCACACAACCCCTCGGCTTAAACCCCTTCTTCCCCATCCAATGCCTCGGGCCTCCCCGTAGCCTCGGCGTCCCCGTCCCTCCATGGCCGCCCACCGCCTCACACCTCGGCGGCGGCGGCTCCCCAGCCCCTCCTCCTCCACCACCACTGGTCCTCCACGTCCGCGTCCTCCTCCGATCCCGCGGCCTCCACCTCGCAAGGGTGCCCGCGCCCGCCGCCACCGCCACGACGGCAGCCGTGGCCTCCGTCGCCCCCGACGACATCTCACAGCTCAACCACCGCCTCCGCGCCATCGCCCGTCGCCGCGAAGCCGCCTCCGCCTCCGCCTCCCCGTCCTCCTCCTCCCCCGTCGACCCGGCCTAGGCCGAGGCGTACCTCCGCCTGATCCGCGACCAGCAGCGGCTCGGCCGGCGCCAGCTCCACCGGGAGGAAGGTGAGGGCGCCGGCGACGAGGACGGCGCTGGTGGCGGGGAGCGGGCGAGGAAGGGGGTGGCAGCGGGGAGCTCGCTGGGGCATCGGGTGGACCCGAGGGAGCTGGAGCCCGATGAGTACGTCGTACACAAGAAGGTCGGCGTCGGGAAATTCGCCTGCATCAGCGCCGAGGATGGCGTTGACTACGTCTTCATTCAGTACGCCGATGGCATGGCCAAGCTCGCCGTTGACCAGGCCGCGCCCATGCTCTACAGATACAACCTGTATGATCTCCTCCTTAGTCCTCAGTCCTCAGTTCCTCACCCACCCACCATCTCTGCATACGCGGCTTCTGTGCTTTGCAACCATTCCAATTGGAAAAATGAAATTACGCTCCTTCAATCACTGTGCTCCAATTGGAAATCCTAATTGGTCCTAGAAACCAAAATTTGAAACTGCCACTTTTCGTGATGGATGCGGATTTGCAATTTCGATTGGTGGAGCCCTCTCCATCTTCATCGCGCCATCCTGCCGCCTCCACCGCATGCTCTCTCCCTGCCAGCACCATGCCTCATCTACTAGCCAGGGGCAGCCACGTCCAATAGTGCGCGTCTGACAAAGGAGCCGATAAAAGCTCGCTTTTTCTCCGACGGACCGCACTCGCCCCTGAGAGCGCAAAACCCGGGGCTTCTTTGTCGGAGCACCTCAGGTTGTGCCTTTTTGGCAGTGGGACCCAAAAAACAGCTCTAGGAGCTGGTTCACAATCCCTACGAAAGGGGCTCTAAGACAATGAGGTACTTCCTCCGTCCCTAAATGTTAGTCGCCACGATTTACGTGTCGATAACTTTGACTTCGATTTATAGAAAATGTGTGCAACATTTCTATCTCTAAATAAATTTATTAAAAAACTAGATTCAAATATCTATCCAATGATACTAATTATGTATCATAAATATTAATATTTTTTAATATATATTTAGTCAAAGTTATTTCTCGAGAAGCGAAAACGATAGACATTTAGGGACGGAGAGAGTACATATTGTGATAGCATTTATTGCTTCGAGTTACCTTTTTCGCCCTTGAACATCGAGAATCTTTAGAGGCGGTTTTTTTTTTATCAGTAACCAGTCTTGCTGTTAGGCCAATCTTAATGTAGGTTTCGTAGCTCAGTTTTTAACATATCCCTTTAAAAAAATAGTGTAGAAGAGTTTTATCCCCATAAAATTCTCTTTATTCTCATAAAATTTTTATCATATCTCTTCATTAATATAATGTCATGTCGACATATTTAATGGTCATGACCTGTGACTAGCTGTATGTGCATGAATGAATGAGGACCGGTGAGTGGCTGTCTTGAACAACAACAAGCGTTTAGCGTTGCTACCGCCGACTCCGTCGACGTGCTGCTGCGTCCAGCTTCAGCCCCTACCCCGCATATACCAGCAGCCAAAATTCGGCAAATATCACCCCCGCCCGTGCACCGGTCCACGCAAACCCCAAGAATTATCCGTTGCCCCGCCTCGTCCACCACTACCACTATCCAGTATCCACACAACCGGCTTAAACCCCTCCCCCTTCCAAGTTCAACCCAAATGCCCCGGGCCTCCCCGTAGCCTCGGCGTCCCGTCCCCGGTCCCTCCATCTCCATGGCCGCCCCACCGCCTCACACCCCGCCGGCGGCGGCTCCCCAGCCCCTCCTCCTCCTCCACCACCACCCGCCAGCACTGGTCCTCCGCGTCCGCCTCCGACCCCGCAGCCTCCGCCTCGCGAGGGCGCCCGCGCCCGCGGCCACGGCCACGGCGGCAGCCGCGGCCTCCGTCGCCCCCGATGACATCTCGCAGCTCAACCACCGCCTCCGCGCCATCGCCCGCCGCCGCGAAGCCGCCTCCGCCGCCGCCTCCCCGTCCTCCTCCTCCCCCGTCGACCCGGCCCAGGCCGAGGCGTACCTCCGCCTGATCCGCGACCAGCAGCGGCTCGGCCTGCGCCAGCTCCGCCGGGAGGAAGCCGAGGGCGACGACGGCGGCGGGGAGCGGGCGAGGAAGGGGGTGGCGGCGGGGAGCTCGCTGGGGCATCGGGTGGACCCGCGGGAGCTGGAGCCCGGCGAGTACGTCGTGCACAAGAAGGTCGGCGTCGGGAAATTCGCCTGCATCAGCGCCGAGGACGGCGTCGACTACGTCTTCATTCAGTACGCCGACGGCATGGCCAAGCTCGCCGTCGACCAGGCCGCGCGCATGCTCTACAGATACAACCTGTATGACCTCCTCCTTGGTCCTCAGTCCTCACCCACCCACCATCTGTGCATACACGGCTTCTGTGCTTTGCAACCATTCCAATTGGAAAAATGAAATTGCGCTCCTTCAATCACTGTGCTCCAATTGGAAATCCTGATTTGTCCTAGGAACCAAAATTTGAAACTTCACTTTCGTGATGGATGCGGATTTGCAATTTCGATTGGTGGCAACGAACACATTCGCTTCAATTTTGCATGCTATGTTATGACTTATTATATGAGCCATTATCGCGTTCTCAACTGGAAATTAAAATTTCACGTTAACCATTTATTCAGATCGATCTCTTTTGCAGGCCTCACGAGAAGACGAGGCCACGGAATTTGAGCAAACTGAACGATCCTTCCACCTGGGAGAGGCGGAGGCTGAAAGGGAAGCTTGCTGTTCAGAAGATGGTTGTCAACCTGATGGAACTGTATTTGCAAAGGATGAGGCTGGGAAGACCTCCGTACCCAAAGCCGGCATCCATGGATGACTTTGCTGCTGAATTCCCTTATGAGCCTACTCCGGACCAATGCCAGGTCAACTTGAATCAACTACTATTGTTTTTTCTTCTAAAAAGTTGCTACTCACATTCCTTGTGTTTTTCAAGATGTATACAAATAGAAATAGGAATATTGCAGTTACCCTCTCACTGACATCGATGATAGACAAAATTACACCCTGATAACTGCTGCGATGTGTGTATGTACTACTTAAGATACTGTTCAACATCACATAGTATTTTCTGAGCAAAAACCATCTCCTGCCTGGTGGATGCATAGACCAAGGGTGAAATGTATGGAAATTGCACATGAAGTCTCTTCATGCCCCATGAATATGCAGTTAGATTGTTTCCTTAAATATGACACACATCTATGTGGGCTGGGCTTAGAAGTCTTTCAGTTCCCTTTATAGTTGTTTTTCATACCTGTGAAAGACTCATTTCGTGACTAGCTCAGAGATGATCCACTTTGTATGGAATAATATAAGGCATGCACTACTGCTCTGTTTGCTCTGTTAGTTCTTGTTGTCAGAGTTGAGGGTCTCATTTGCTATATCCTAGAATTCTAATTGTAGAGCTCTTCAGATGCGGATCTGTGTGGGGTCTAAAAGAGATAGAACCAACTCATTCTGATCACTGTACTTCTCCCCAGGGTTCTTCTATCCCAGTCCTATTAACTTGAAAAACTGCCCGGAAGATCAGTAATTCAGGATTCTGTTGCATGTACACACAGTGCAAAACATTATATGGTCCACAGTACAATACATTCTAAATAAACTTGAATGCTGGCTGAAATGGTGCTCATTCTGATGACAGGCCTTTATAGATGTTGAGAAAGATCTGACAGAAAGGGAAACACCAATGGATAGATTAATCTGTGGAGATGTGGGCTTTGGCAAAACAGAAGTCGCAATGCGCGGTATATTCATTGTTGTGTCTGCAGGATTTCAAGCTATGGTTCTAGCTCCAACAATAATACTTGCCAAGCAACATTATGATGTAATGACTGAGCGTTTTGCGAACTATCCAGAGATAAAGGTCGCCATATTTAGTGGTGCTCAGGTATGCCGTGGCAGAAGTTAGTTTAGCCTACAATTTTTCTTGAACGCAGTTTAGCCCACAATGCAACACATTTCATATTTCCCCCTTTCTTTCGGAACAATCTATGTTTGTATTTAATTCTTGACCCTAAGAAATGTTGCACCCTGATCTCCTGATTCTTAATAGTCTAACATTTAGCATGAAAAGAATCCTTATATATATGACTTGTATCATTTGCAAAGATAAGATATGTAATGGGTTGCATAGCTGTGGCAGTACTGTCTTGCAACTTAATGTTATTAGTTGTCAGATTATTGTACAAACTTGTTTTAAAGAAGAATATTTTACTCATCCTTCCTTTCTTTAGTGATTTTATAACTTTTGGAATGTATAGAGTTGTGTTGATGTCAAGTGTGTTTCAGCCTTGCTGACCCCCAGCTATCAAAGAGTTATTACATATTGAAATTAATTTACTTAACCTATCAACTCTATCAATTGCACTGTATAACATGGTGACCTCTTCTTTGCAGAGCAAAGAGGAGAAAGATGAGCTAATAACAAATATTAAGAATGGAGATTTGCACATCATTGTTGGCACTCATGCTCTTCTTACGGAAAGGATGGCCTATAGCAATCTTGGTCTCCTAGTGGTGGATGAAGAACAAGTACCTCTGCGAATCTTGCTACATCTTCTTTTTCAATCCTTGAAATTCTGTCTTCTTTTGTTGAGTCATTTGTGTGTGTGTAATTGCTGTTCTAGTCTGGTGGTGTTGTGGGTGAAGGGCAAGTGCCTAGAGAAGAATAGAATTTTGAAAGCTAAATTAGTTCCATTCTTTTCAAAGTCTACTATGTTAAGTTGTCATAGCTTAATGCTGTGATTGGCATCTTGCAAGAAAGTTCGAGTCAAATCAAAAGTTATCATATATATATTTTCTTTTTATGCATATATCTTCATATACTCCGTTTAAAATATTTACAGAAGTTTGGTGTTCAACAAAAGGAGAAGATTGCCTCATACAAGTCTTCTATTGATGTTCTTACACTTTCTGCAACACCCATTCCACGTACGCTGTATCTGGCTTTGACTGGTTTCCGTGATGCAAGGTAAGGTGTGGTTACAGTAGCATGTTCTTTTGTACCTCGTCCATCTTGTTGAGATAAGATATTGTGTCATCTAGAATTTAAATATTGATGATTTATTGCAGAACGTGATGGTAATCGCTACCACTACTTTAAGACCATTATCAGTTAATGATTACCACTAGACGTTTTTTTGAACGGGAAATACAGCAGGGGAGTCCCCCACTATTAGAAATTATATTAATAGGAGAAAAAGAAAAAACTGTTATCACTAGACGCCAACACGAAATTCAGCTTCTTGGATATTACATGCTATCTGCTCTAGTTTTGCTCTATTTAGTCTGTACCACTCTGCTGGTACTGCTCACTGGAGTGACATCCATCTGTTGTTAATAACAACATAAAAATATAAAGGACGTGGCTTAATGATATTACTGTATTTTATTTGCACTTGTTCAAAATATGAGTAATAGCTAGCACTTCGACCTTATTGCTCAAAATAAGAAACCTCTACCATCTATGGACTTTCTTTTACCATATTAGATTCCATGGACGAATGGACTGTTATAGCTTGCAAAAGATTAATAAACAATTAATGCTACTGTGGTGCAGGTAGATTATATGCTTGACAAATTAGTGTTATCCTATAGTAGACTAGTAGTTTTTATGCTTGCATGGTTCTCCATAATGTAAACACTTTAGTTGCATTCAACTTGTATACTTTATTTTCTGTTTTTCTTATTGAAGTGTATTTCTACTTCCAGTTTGATGTCTACACCACCTCCTGAAAGAGTTGCTGTAAAGACATATGTGTCAGCATTTAGTAAAGAAAGGGCCCTATCAGCTATCAAGTTTGAGCTGCAACGTGGTGGTCAAGTCTTTTATGTTGTGCCTCGAATAAAAGGTCACAATTCTGTTAGCTTCATATGATTTTTTTCATGATAGATCCTCATGATGCACGAAGTATGTTTCTTAATAATTCAGTTTACTTTTCTTTAAGTTTGTTCTGTAAACATTTGACCTGCTTGAGCTAAATTCTTTTTTTTTCCTTCTCGGAAACACTGGAGAGCTGCGTTTCCTTGTATTAAGAACAAGGGGTGAGAACCTTTACTACACACACACACACACACACACACACACACACCAACCCACACCAAAACGTATTCCGTTGACAAGGTTACATAGATCGCCGATGACACATGTCAAAGCGACCTGACCAAGACTAAGCCTAGCTAAATTCACTGAATTATGCTGTTAACAAGATAAATTCTGGCTACAAATCTGGCTTGGTTAAATTGTATTTACTAGTTAGCCTGTTTAATAAATATCTCATTTGAATGGTTGAACAGTATGAACCTGACGCTTGGTTAGCCGTTTCAGCTGAATCGCTAGAAGTCTAGTCTTACAACTACGCATATGATTTGTCTCTATATGGTCCTTTTGGATAAACAATGCACTATTACATTTTAAAATACATATGCATGTCTCATATTTAATTCATCATTCAACAGCAATAGACGATGTGTTGCAGTTTCTCAAGGACTCTCTGCCTGATGTACCAATTGCTGTTGCTCATGGAAAGGTAGGTTGACTAAGTTGTTCAAGAAGTTGGGCATCCATTTCACTGTGCCATTTTGTAACTCCTTAGTTCTCAGTAGACATTATCTATATTTGTGTATCTTGTGTTGTATTAAAAACCAAGATGCAAATGAGAATTTCCTACTATTTGATTTAACATATTCCACTGTGGGCACAAACCCTGTGTCACTGGCGGACCCAGGGCCTGGTGACCGTGGGTCTCCACCTGGGCTCCTCGCAGTTCATGTCTATTAGGTCCAATTATTAAGTAGCCCACATATAAGGAGATAAAGTCTAATTCATTACTTAGCCCATTAAATCGTACGGGCTTCTGAAAATTCTTGGGCTCACCATTACCTGTGTGGTTGGTTATTGTCCAAATTAATTCAAATGGAGATTCTGTCTGCTCCTATAGTTCATATCATTTTATGCTTAATTCATTTACTTCAGCATAACATGCCAACTTTTTTGAAGTCATTATCTTAAATTATTAAATATTGCCTGTAAATGTGTTTATATTCCAGTTGCATAGATGAATGAAACATTAACCTCATTGACTAATCTTATTTGTTAAAATTTATTTCCTACAGAAAATGTCAAAGAACATACAACTTGCTATGGAGGATTTTGCTAGCGGGGAAGTCAAAATTCTTGTCTGCACACATATCATTGAAAGTGGAATAGATATTGCAAATGCCAATACAATGATTGTCCAGTTTGCTGAACTATATGGACTTGCCCAGCTGTATCAGGTAGCTTTTATTTCCTTGTATGTTTTTTCTTTGCCTTGTTAGTAGAATTTTTTAATGCATATGATTAATTCATTAATTGCTAAGTCATGCTCAATTGACAAATATTCTAATAAGAATATAAGATGCATGTATCTACTCTCTAAATTTCAAGTTCATTGTTTTGCCTTTGCTTCAGTTACGAGGAAGAGTAGGAAGATCGGGTAGAGAAGGCTTCGCATACCTTTTCTACACTGATAAGTCTTTGCTCTCGAGAGTTGCAACGGTGAGCTCTACAGTACACCTTATAGTTTGTTATTGGTATCCATCATTTAATTTATTTTGTCTCATACTGTTTTACTGTATGTGATGCTGAAAGCATATTTGGGGATGTTGTACAAGATGTTGAAGTCCCAATAAGAAACAGAATCTGACTTTTGATTATGCCAAGATAGTTTGTGCTTGTTACTTGTATTTTACTAAGGCCAATTCACAGTACAGGTGGTACTACCTTATTAGCTGTTTGGGCATTTTTGTAGATGAGACCTACTCTCACAATCGGTAGAATACTGACACTGTGACAACCCCTCCTGCAGCCGCTTAGGCAAGATGTGATGTCATTAAGATAGAGACAGGCTATTTAGTTGGTGAGAGCAGATGGGAATTGCATCTGTTGTTATTCCTAATTGAGAGATTGGATACAGAGTACATTTTATAGAGACTTAAGGCTAAGAAATAAAGAGGCAACACGCCAGGGGGAGAACTATGTGTTTGGGAGACTCTACAAGGAGGAGGTTTATGGTTGACAGAATCATGCACAAATGAACTTCAAAAGAGTTCATGTATACCCAGCAGATCATGGACTTCTACATTTGTCATTTAATATTTTCGTCTACAGGATAGACTTGGAGCTATTGAGGAGCATTCAGAGCTTGGCCAAGGTTTCCATGTTGCAGAGAAGGATATGGGTATCAGGGGATTTGGAAGCTTGTTTGGTGATCAACAGTCTGGAGATGTTGCAAATGTTGGCATTGATCTATTCTTTGATATGCTTTTTGATAGCTTGTCAAAGGTATCTTCACTCATCCGGACACATTTACTAATGATTTCTTCTCATTTTGTTTTCTACTTAGTAATCTTGGCATTGGTTATCTAATATTATGGTGAGCCTTAAGCTATTAAATCTGCTGCATAAGAAATTTCTTTCTTACAAATAGTGTTACTGATACAATATGGTGGTGCAAATGCACTTGTAATTGAGCTTTTTTGGGAGAGAGAAGGTAGAAACATCTACCTGGCTACCAACTTCTGAAAGGTTTCTCTTACGACATTGGTAACACTGAAGTCAGATATGACAAACTTCACTAATAATTCATCTAATCATCTGCTACACATTTGCAAATTTGCATCAGTAGAGCTAACTGCTTCTCAGAATTGTGAGATGCATCTTACATGGCCGAGAAGATAATTCCTGTTCTGAACTACTAGCTTGTGTACAAGTCTCCTTATCATGTCCTCCCCTTTGCAAGACAGTCTATTCTTTGCTTGATTCATCACGGGTGCACATTATTGTATTTAGAATCTTCAGATTACTTGAAGGATAGTTAAAGCAGTTTGGCTAGTCCTTCAGATTACTGAAAGGATAGCTAAGAATATTTGTATTTTGCTATTTCAGTTTCCAACAGTACAACTATTGAGGATGATTGCTTTCCTTTATAAAAGCAATCGAGTAATTTCTTAGCTAAGTTCTAGCTATAAGCTCTGCATGACATGCTATTGCCCATGATAATTCTGATAGGATTACTCTAACTCTTTCAGGTTGATCAGTTTTGCCTCGTTCCCGTTTCGTACAAAGATGTTCAGGTGAACCTGAAAATACTTCTCAATTTGAGTTGCATAGCTTTCTAATGCAAGCATTACATAATGATATTTTGCAATTTTGTACGAGCATTGTTTGAGTGAATCTTTTCTTGGGGCAGCTGGATATAAACATTTCTCCACGTCTCCCCTCTGAATACATAAGTTATCTGGAAAATCCTGTTGAGTTGCTCAATGAAGCGGCAAAAGCTGCAGAGAAAGACCTATGGACCTTGATACAGTTTACAGAAGACCTCCGTCGACGATACGGAAAGGAGCCCCGTGATATGGAGGTTCTTCTTTATGCTATGATCAGGGCTCATGATTTCAGTTTAGTGGCTTACTTTGTTGTGTTATGTGCTTTCTCTTGCAGTTACTACTGAAAAAGCTCTATGTAAGACGGATGGCTGCAGATCTTGGTATCAGTCGGATATATCCATCTGGCAAGATGATATTCATGAAAACAAACATGAACAAGAAGGTATTTAGGCTCATGACAGAAGCAATGACTTCTGAAACACATCGGAATTCCCTATCATTTGCTGGAAAGGAAATTAAGGTAAGGGTCCATGTGCCCCAGTATGCAATTTCCTGGAGCAGATGAAACTGAGGAAAATCAGTCCTAGTAATGATTTTGAAATACTATAAGCAAAGCAGTATTTTAGTTGTGATGGATAGGATTAAATTTGGGATCTTGTAGGTTTTATGCCCAAAATCCAATCAAACAATATTCTTAAAGTACATGACCTTGTCTATTATCTATATAGCATAAATTAATGTGATCTTTAGTGTTCGTGCACAGCCAAGTGGTTAGTGGTTTAGTGGCTTAGTGCAAATTCTTCTATTAACCATAAACCATGTGCCTGGACGCACGTCTCTCTTGTGTCGTTCAAGAAAAAAATATTTCCATGTGTCGCCTTTCTTACAATTGTACTCTTTTCGACAGGCTGAACTCCTCGTGAGCTTGCCAGATACCCTACTTCTGAACTGGCTTTTCCATTGCTTATCAGACTGCTATACTGTAATACCAGCCCTTGTGAAGTACTAGATTATTATTATTTCATAAGAACTGAAGGCTTTTGCCACCACCATGAAAGGGGACAATTTATCCATGCTTGAAGAGAATGGTCTGTCCGAGAAAGCAGTCTTGGCTATTTGATTCATCTGCGAAGGATGGCTCTTCATTATGTTGGTATTGGCAGTCAGGCTCTGGCAGGCCAAAGCAAGCCCATACGCACTATTGATTTAGGAAAAGGTCTGTCAAAATTGTCAACATAACGAGCATACTTTAGTCCTATACACAAACTGGTATTATCTTGAGCCCCAAAGTTCCCTTTTTTGCAGTTCTTCAATAAATCCTTCTCACACTATCTTCTTTATTGGTTGTCGTCCTGCCAATTCTTTCAGGAGAATGCTCAACACAAAGCCACATATTGCAGTTTTCTACATTCGCTGACAGCAATGGGATGATTGCCTGATGCATAATCGCTAAATTCAGGTGCAATGCAAGTATGAAACATGAAATCAGGAAGCTCAGAGAACTAGTTCAGAGTACCTGACAATAGATACGTTCAAAATTCTTCTAGGATTTTTGACATGAACTATCTAAATATTGCTTGATAAAATGGTAGGTAGGGAACTAGGGATGGCGTTAACCATACACCATTTGTCTGACAAAAATCATTAGGAAATTTGGGGCCAGTTAGTCTGTGAGTTAATATTTGTTGTAAATGCCTATTCAAACAGATTGTGACAGACTGACAGCGACCATATTAGTTGACAAAATTTCACGGAACTACAAGTATTTTTACATAATACACGCAGATCCATAATATTTGACACGTATCACAAAACTTCAACTATTTTGGGCCTTTTGGCACTTGGACCACAGAACCTGGTCCCTAAATAGTTGGTATTTTTTTGCCAAGAAAATTGTAGCTTTGTGGTAACAAGTGCCAAAGTAGTTCTATGGTACATGCCAATTATTGATCAACTCATTTGGTCAAAGTAGTTATGTGAAACTTGATGTATTGGTTTTGTACAACTAAGTTGTGTAACAGTTTAAGATTTGTGCTTTAACATTTGAAGCTTAGCATAGTTTAGCCGAAGACAGAAAAAAGTAATAATATCTCAGGAAAGCTCTGATATATTATAAGAAACATGCTGCTTGATAAGTTCACGAAAACGTGAATTGAAAATAACATCTGAATATCCGATGTGAAATCAAATCGTGGGGTCTCGGTCTTCATTTAAGCAACACTTCTGTCCAAATGTACAAAATGGTGCAAATGAAATTCATTGCAAAGCATGTCAGGATCTGCTTGGATCACTGTACTAAACTCTATAAATCACCTAAAGTTTAGTCCTAGGCCATCTAAACGGGTAAATTAAAAGGTGACTACTATTTGGTCCAGTCTAATTTACCTTCAGTCGATTTCAATAGTTTACGTATTCAAAATATAAGACTAAACTTTACTTGACTGAGTTGGGACTAATGACTAATCTAGGTGATTCAAGAAAACTCTAAAGGCCTATATGTTTTCTTGGAATTCAATATTTTTTAAAGAGTCAAGAATCACATTACGTTTTAGATCTTAATTAAAGTGTTTCTATCAGTATGGAGTTTTTTTTTTTGGGTCCAGACTCCGGAGAGATGAGCGGAAGGTGTGGCGACAAATCGCTCTTTCTATTTCTTACCCTTTCAATTTGACGTAGGTGTGTAATTAAGATTTGAAATGCGGTGGAATATGGAATTCTAAGCCAAATAGTTTGATCCAAATAGGCCATAAACGTTTTTGAATTTGTTGAATGGCTTTGTACTCCAATGCTTTGGCAGCAATACTGTTAATGATTTACAATTGTAGATCCACTCTGGCAGCCTGTAGGTAAGACTTTGAGACCCGTTCATTCATGAGCATGTTCACGTAAACTCGCAAGTTCATGTTAGGGCCTGTTTAGTTTCCAAAAAATTTTGCGCAGTACTCATCATATCGAATCTTGCGGCACATGCATGTAGTACTAAATGTAGACGAAAAAAAACTAACTACATAGTTGGGTGAGAAATCGCGAGACGAAACTTTCAAACCTAATTAGCCCATAATTAGACACTAATTGCTAAATACAAACAAAAGTGCTATATTAACCTAAACCCAAAAATTTTTGATCTAAACGCGCTTTAGTGTGTGCTTCCGGAGAAAACCGGGTCCATGCCGGGACGACCTGAATACCGGCGGCAACCGGTGCCCCTCTCCACCGTCCTCGCGGGCACGGCTGACCGCGCCCCCGCCGCATTTCTCGCCGCCCTGTTCCCTGCTCCCACCTCCGCTACCCTGCCCAAAAACTCCGGCATCGACCGCTCCTCCTCCTCCTCCTCGGAAGCCCGGCCGTGCTCCAACTGACCCCAATGGTGGAGACGCTGCTGCTCGCGTGCCACCTCGCCCTCTCTTTCGCCCTCCTCGCCGCCTCCCTCTCCCACCTCGTCGTTGCCACCGTCTCCCACCTCTCGCCCTCCTCCCTCCACCACCGCCTCATCCGCCTGCTCCGCCACCCGCTCGTCCGCCTCCTCCCGCCGCTCCTCGCGCTCCCCTTCGCCTTCCTCCCGCTCGCCTCCACGCCCCTGCTGCCGCTCCTCCTCCTCCCTCCGCTGCTCCCGCTCCTCCCGCTCCCCTTCCTCCCTCCCCACCTCCCGCTCCTCCTCCTCCGCCCGCTCCTCCTCTCCCTGCCGCTCCTCCTGCTCGCGCGCGCGGCCGACCTCCTCGCCGCCTCGTTCCCGGCCTCGGACCTCCAGGCGCACGCGCTCGCTGTCGCGCGCCTCCTCCTCCTCGCCGCGGCGGCGGCCTCCCTCGCCTCGTCGCTCTCCGCCGCCGCGCCCAGGGGCTCGACGGCGGCCGGCGCCCAGTTCGTCGCCGAGGCGGGGCTCGCCTGCGCTGGCGCCGTGGGCGGGCTCTGGGCGGCGCAGAGCGGGCTCAGCCTCTACGTCGACGCGTGCGTGCCCGCGGGGTGCCACCGCCTCCTGGACGCCGGCGGCGCCGCGCCGCCCGCCACGCGGTGCGACGTCGAGGAGGCTAGGCTCAGGGCCGTCGCCATCATGGATCTCGCCCTGTCCGTGCACTGCGTCGTCGTGGCTGCCGTCGTGGCCGGGGTGCTCCTCGGGGTGGCGAGGTGGTTCGGGGTTGACAGCAGCGCTGGTGTGGGGAGGAGGCATAATGGATCCTCCTATGATGCATTGCCCACAGTGGCGTCTGCTGGGGCAATGGCGGAGATGGAGCATTTGCAGGGGAAGGGTGTTGGCAAGAGCGTGGCGCAGGAATGAAAATCGTGCAATGTATTGGATTAACTAGGTACATTTCGAATGACTCAAGTATATGTCCAGATGTGAACCCCTGAAATGGGTGGGGTTCCAAATGGTGGCAGAATTTGTTCTGTAGAACGCTGATCTTTAGTTGCAATGAGAGGGTACTAGTCACTGCTGCTGCAGACGAATTGCATTGTCGATTGGCCCTTGGAGCCCAATCTATGGCTGGACTGGACCATTGATGTAGGTCGCTGCACTGATCTCAATGATTTGTTTATGTCCACAATTTGATATTTGGTAGTTCTGTCTACTTCAGGAGAATTTAATTTGCAATATTTTTTTTTTATTACTCCCTCCATTCCAAATTATAAGACGTCTTGTCTTTTCTAGATACATCGTTTTTACTATGCATCTAGACATAGTGTGTATCTAAGGACATAGCAAAATTATGTATCTAGAAAAGCCAAAACGCCTTATAATTTGGAATGGAGAAAGTACTTGATTCTTAGTAGCATACATATGCCAAATCTCTATGCCCACCCATATAACTAGCTAGTGAGCTCTTGAGCTTTTTATACTGACTTTTACATTCACATAGTACTATTTAGGGATTTATTAGCTATATTTGTTAGCCTGTGCTGCAGTTGTCCTTGGACAATTCAGTCTTGCATATTCTTTCGTTAAAAAACTTAAACATGTGGTACTTAGTTTTCGAAGAGAGATATTGAGAGAAGCTGAAGGAATTGCATGGATGACCTCATGAGAATCAGATGTTATATAAGTCTATGTGGTGTAACAAATGAACTATGGAACCAGAAGTCAGAGAATGCAGAATCCCTTTGCAGTTTGCACCAAGAGATTATTTAGAATCAGAACCTTAGGTTGTAGGGACACCTCTTCTAGGTTCTCATCTCATGATTTGTTAAATTTGATATCATTACTTCTCAATTATTTGATTAGAACGTGAAGGACTGAAGGGGTTATCCAACATACTGAAGCTAATTTGGAAAGGTTGACAAGAACCATACTCAGTTTTATTGTGATTCACTGAATCTTATTGAGACTACACCCAACTAGTTCAAAGGAGTATATCTGCAGTCTGCTAGTAGTAGGTTTGTAATGATGTGGCAGTGTCAAACTTAAATGCTACTAAATGACGACCATATTCTTCTTCCTTCGTGGAGTTAGCCAAATGATTTTTTGCTTTTAGATTTACCCTTGAATTTTGCAAATGAATTTTACTATTTGTATCTTTATGCCTTTGTTTTGTTAAAAATCATTATATAACTGAATTAGATAGCCAAGAGTCGCAAACCTATGCTGTTTCCTTCTGAACTATTTTATGATTTTGGCCAAGCTATTCTTCTTCTGCTAAGCAAATCCAAGTAATGGTGTGTTTTCAATTTTTCATATGCTTCCTCAGGTCACTGTGCTGCCAAATATTATTTGGTAGCTGCAAGAATCTTCTATTGACTTATCAGTGATATGCTGGGCAGCAAAAGATGTCCTCTAGAGATTCTGACATTGACAATTAACTACTTGTTGTACCAACTATGATCCATATTTACACCTTTGTAAATCTTTCGCTTAGTGCTTCTTTAGGAAAAGCGAATTGGCTACTCCTTAAACCAAAGGTCACTTAGGACATCTATATTCTATATCTCTGTCCAATAGGTGATTCTTGTCATTTTTCATTTAGTCTGTCTGTGGGTGAATACTGCTGGACTATGGTTGAACTTATGCAGATGTGACAACCGAATTGCCTGGTTCAGAACATCTTCAACTGTGTATGAATATCTGCTATGTGATTTCTCGTTGTTGTATTCTTGTGTAGTGAGTGAGATTTATAAGATACTAAAGATAGTTCCTTGCACCAAACCATTTCATATGGCTATCCAAGTATGCTACTTTGATTAGGGCAGCGCATCCACTCCTTTGCAGTTCGATTAATTATGGAAGTGCTTGCATGCTTTACGGGTAAAAATTGTGACTCATCTTCAAAGAGGCTACTGAACCTTGTGATGCGGCTAAACTGTTAGCTCTACCCAACTTATCAAGAACTTCTGCTGGCATGTACTATTATTTTTCTTATGCATAGGTGTCAAGACTATGAATAAAGACTGGTGAACATCATATATACAGGAAAGTGAGCATTTAGCTTTCTCTTGATACAAAGCTGGTTAATTTGTTGTATCCTTGTGATACTAGGTGATCAAGCATGAAAGATGGTTTAAATAGCAAATGGGAATCAAACATAACCATGAGTTGGACCAATTGATAGGCACAGTCAGATGCCATTGGACAAAAGTTGTCTTAAAAAAGATAGTTCCACTATGGTAAAGTATCTGGTTTCTTTCTAGGTGGTTGAGCCTATGTTTATCTTACCTGTCTACAATCCAATAACACCTTATTGTTTTAATTATACCTCAGGTGTTGCCTGTCTTGGTCAGATTAGTTTAATAGTATGTGTTAACTGCATCATGCATATATAGTAGGTTCTGAACACTATATAAATGTTCACCAAGTTCTGTCAATCATCCCTTGTGCCTACAACTCCAATGTTGTCTGAACCACCTAGAGCTAAGAGTGACAAATGGCATGGCTCTCTTGGTCCCTCTCTCCCTTGAAGGCTTTCTCTGGTAAATCTGGTTGGCTTGCACAATGAATTTCCACCAGATCTTTGTGAGAAAGCCTTCAGGAGGGGGGGATCCAAGTGAGCCACAGTGCCTGTGCCCAGCAGCCAAGATGTGTACTGTTTAGTTATTTGTGTATTTAATTCATTGTTTGTTTATATGAGAACTTGGTTAATCATTTGTTGCATTGATTGTTTGAAATGATAGCTAATCCCAATCAAAATCAGACAACGGATGTATGAGAAATGGACAGTGGGCGAGTAATATGCTTCTTATCTTTACAAGGCAGTGGGCATTACTGATCATCTATCTCACTTGTATCCAGGTAAGGAGAATTGGGGGTAGGTTGCCAAGTTTTTCTTGGAGCTCTCACGGTCTCAACACAACTGAAAGCTGCACGTACACAAGGAAAGGTATGAGCATCGTCATCACAATAAAGATCAAACAATTTCAAGAAGCTTTATTAGCATTAAGCATGAGAAATTCCTTAAAAGAACATCTTGCATAAATTAGAGCTGCGCACCTGGCATAATATTGGCAACAAAAAAATCTTTTTGTAGGAGCTGGATGAGTTTTGGGTCTTTGATTACGGAAATGCACGAGATGTTCTCCTGGTCTTGGGCTTCAAAACATTCCTAAGAACAAATATTTTGAGTGTAATTCTTTTTAATGATATTTTTCCTGATAAATGTCTCTTCTGGTATCTGAGTTGTACAAAGCTGACATTTTCCTACTTTTTCTAGTGTAGATTCATATGGTTCCTTTCAGTTGGTGGTCCTCATGTTAGGTTTTATCTCTAGCATACCCAACTTGCTTGGGACTCAAAGCCGATGTTGTTGTTGTATTGCAGACGAAGGTTTACTCTTCATGCATTTGGTACCGAGCTCCTAAAACTTTAGTTCCTAAAAGTTTTAGGCAGCCTTCTAAAACCTCCTAAAAAAGTGTTTGGTTGCACCTCCTAAAACTGACTAAAAGCAATAAATGTTGTTGAACAAAGACACTTTTACCCTTCTTCCTCCTACCCCTGCTACCCCTGCGAGCAAAAAGCTCTTCCTCGCCAACGCCGCTTCTCCTCTTTGCTCCGCGGTCGCCGAGTGAGACCCCCGTGCCAACCATCCCGCCCCAGCCAGCAAAGAACGCCCGTGGAGGTCCCTCAAGACGCGAGCCTGCCCGCCTCTCTCCACCTCACCGCCGCTCCACGAGACCCCGCTCGCGGCCGCCCCAATGCCCGCCTAGAAGCGGTTCTTGGTCGCGGAAGCCGCCGTCGATGGTGGATCGAGCAATGATCGGATTGGGGAGCAACACGCCGAGGAGAAGCGGGCGTCATGGCCAGGCCAGGCAAGGCCTTGCGAGGGAGCGGGGGCGGCGGATCCGGCGGGGGATGGCGCGGGCGCCGGCGTGGAGGGAGGGAGCAGCGCGCCGCCGGGGGACACCGGAGGGGGCCCATCACCACCGCATCAATGGGATTGGGGAGGGCCATCATGGCCGGATGCGCCGAGGGAGGGAGCGCCGCCACCTGCTTCCCGTGCTTGAGATCCATGGGGGAGAGGGCCCGCCGCTGGCCGAGGGTGAGGAGCCACCGGGAAGGGGCGTCGCCGCCGTCAGTGGAGGGTAGGGGCCGCAAGAGGCCCGTCGCCGCCAGGATGGAGGGAGAAGGGGGCGCAGGATGGAGGCGCGGGAGGGAGGGAGGGTGGGAGAGAGAGAGAGGGGGGGCAATAAATGAGGGGTAGTGGGGGTCCAAGAAGGACTTTATTTTTGGTTTTAGGGGGTGGAGCTCCTAAAGTTTTTGGCCCCTTCTAAAGTTTTTAGGAGTTTTTAGGAGGGGGTGTTTGGTTCTTTAGGCAAATTTTATCCAGATTTTAGCTCCTAAAGTTTTTAGGAGGGCAACCAAATAGGGCCTAATAGATGCATTCATTAGCAACAATTGGATATGACTTTATGGGTGCTTGCCAAACCGCCAGTTTAGCAGATTGCATCAATCATGAAATAGACCTTTTGTTGATTGAGCACAGTCAGATACCAACCAGATGAAGTCGATTAATCTATTCCTTGTTTTGTGCTAGTACTTGTTAACTGGTAGTGAAGCCAGTCATTCTTTATTCCACAGTCGAAAGGCTTGATTTATTTGTTGTCAACTGTCATTCTTGGTTAATTATGGAGTGAATTGGCCATACTTTTTTCCCCATCAACTTAGGTTTTATGTCGTTTTTCTTTGTTGAAATATGATTGAATCCATATTTTTCTACTAGCTTAAGTTTTATTGAGATCAAAGCAAAATGTCTCGAGCTAAGGTTTGATCAAGGCAATTAATGCAAATAAAAATATTGCAGGCGACTCTTGCGCCACGTTTGATAAGCTTCCTCTCTCTTCCCGTCAGTTTATTAT